AACATTTACCTGAGGTAGATACACTCCTTGGAGAGAACAAGCATGAGAGAAAGAAGGGTTGCTTATGCACAGGGAGACAGCTCAGGGGGTAGGAGTGCATGGAGGGATGGACACAGGGAAGCGGTAACTATCAGGAGGAAGTGGGAGGAGAGATGTTGGATTGTGGTAAATTGTGATCAATGTCATAAGACAAAGTGTATGTAAACTGCTGTATGGAAAGCTTATTTGCTCTGTAAATTTTCACCCAAATCACAATAAAAAGAAAAAAAAGAAAGGAAGGAACGCAGGTACAGGTGGAGTGCAGTCTGTAGACACTATGCAGAGGAGGGGTGCTGGATGGGCACAGGGAGGCTGTTGTGGGCAGGCGGCAGGAGCATGCCTGCTGGATTGGAAAGGAAGGGAGGGAAGATGTCAGAGGAGTAAAGAGGAGGTCAGGTCAGGAATTGTACGCCAGGAAGGGAGTGAGAACAGAAAGACTGTAATGCCAGTGTTCTGGGTTTTTATTTATTTTCCCTTCATCCAAGTTAATATTTGTCTACCCCTCTAGTTAGTGGTTTACCCTCCCTTCCCCACCCATCCCTAGTAACCATCAAAGAGTATTTCTTTTTTTGTGAAACATTTTTCTTAACTTTTTAGAACAGTGATCTCATACAATATTTGTCCTTCTGTGATCGACTAACTCCTCAACATGTTGTTGTTGTTGTTGTTGTTATGTGCCATTGAGTCTTATCCGACTCATAGCGACCCCTCCTTGGGTTTCCGAGGCAGTATCACTACGGAAGTAGATTGCCCCATCTTCCTTCTGAACTACTCAATATAAGGGGCTCTAAATTCATCCATGTTATGAGATGTTTTACAGATTCATCATTGTTCTTTAATGTTCCATAGTATTCCACTGTGTATATATATTCCATAGTTTGTTGACCATTCATCTATTAATAGGCACTGCAGTGAAGTAAATTACTTAGTATGGCTTTTCTACCCATAAGTCATTGTAAACTCAGTGGTGGAATGAGCAACTGAGGAGCTCCTGATTGTAAATGTTATCCACCTGGGTTATTTCTGTTGGGCGTGGCACAATGCAATGTTATGGGCGGTTCACTCTCGGGTGCTTAGAATTTTGTT